GGAAATACTTATTATGCAGGGACTTAAAAATTTTTGGACCAGGATAAACTCATTAAAAAAAATTTTTTTTTCCCCAAATGCCAGCAACTGCTGGGGCTCTGCTGGGCCAAAGCTGGGAGCCAGGAACACAGTCCAGATCTCCTGTGTGGGTGGCAGAAACCCAGCAAATTGGGTCAACACTGCTGCCTCCCAGTGTCTGCATCAGCAGAAGTTGACATCAGAAGTCAACAGCTGGGAATTGAATCCAGCTGATAATTCTCTGATGAAAGATTCAGGGTTCCTAACCAGCAGGCCAAATGCCCACCCTGATTCTATTTTTTGATAAGCTGTTTTTTGTTTTGTTTTTTAAGATTTATATATTTGAGAGGTAGAGTTACAAAGAGGGAGGGAGAGACATGGAGAAAGGTCTTCCATCCACTGGTTTACTCCCAAAATGGTTGTAACAGCCAGAGCTGGGCCAATGTGAAGCCAGGAGCTTCTGCCAGTTCTCTACACAGATGCAGGGGCCCAAGCATTTGGGCCATCTTCCACTGCTTTCCCAGGCTATAGCAGAGAGCTGAATCAAATAAGAGTAGCTGGGACTTGAACTGGCACTGTAGGTGGTTGCTTTACCCACTATACCACAATGCCGGCCCCTCTATAAACTGAGATTTATTATTTGAAAGGCAGATCAGTATAAGTAGAGAAATATCTTCCATCCACTACTGTTTGAGTTTGCTGTATAGCATTAATGTTTAGCATAGAAATGCTAGACAGCCGGCGCCGTGGCTCAATAGGCTAATCCTCCACCTTGCAGCGCCGGCACACCGGGTTCTAGTTCCGGTCGGGGTGCCGGATTCTGTCCCAGTTGCCCCTCTTCCAGGCCAGCTCTCTGCTGTGGCCCGGGAGTGCAGCAGTGGAGGATGGCCCAAGTGCTTGGGCCCTGTACCCCATGGGAGACTAGGAGAAGCACCTGGCTCCTGCCTTTGGATCAGCGCGATGTGCTGGCCGCAGTGGCCATTGGAAGGTGAACCAACGGCAAAGGGAAGACCTTTGTCTCTCTCTCTCTCTGTCCACTCTGCCTGTCAAAAAAAAAAAAGCTAGACAAAAAAGCATAGAATGTGATCTTTTTTCATAAAAGGGATTTCATAAACATCAATTTGTGTTTATTGTTGGCTTTAGTTAAGTGTGGGACATTTCACTCAGAATTGTATTTTTGGTGTCTTAGAGTAAACAAAGCTAGTAAATATTGAGTTACAGTCCACAAAATTCTTTCTCCTCCCTCTCACTCCTTTTTGCCCCCTCCTTTTTTGTGAAACAACCTTTTACAAACATAGAATTAAATTTTGGCTTACAGAACACCTTCTGGTTAGGTAATTTAAATTGTTTTGTATGGGTCCAGCTTAGTGGCACAGCAGGTTTAGCTGCTGCCTGCAATGCCAGCATTCTGTATCCTGTGCCAATTCAATTCCTGGTTGCTCTGCTTCTGATCCAGCTCCCTGATAATGCACCTGAAAGGAGAGTAGGGGATGGCCCAAGCATTTTAGAACCTGCCACCCTTGGGGCCAACGCTGTGGCGCAGCGGGTCTGAAGTGCCAGCATCCCATATGGGCACCAGTTCAAGACCCGGCTGCTCCACTTCCAATCCAGCTCTCTACTGTGGCCTGGGAAAGCAGTAGAAGATGGCCCAAGTCCTTGGGCCCCTGCACCCGCGTGGGAGACCCGGAGGAAGCTCCTGGCTTCGGATCCTCGCAGCTCTGACTGTTGGGGCCAATTGGGGAGTGAACTGGTGGATGGAAGACCTCTCTTCTGCCTCTCCTCTCTCTCTGTAACTCAGATAAAAATAGATAAATCTCTAAAAAAAGGGGGAGTGAACCAGCAGAGGGAAGATCTCCCTCTGTTACTCTACCTTTCAAAATAAGTATGTTTTAAAAAATGGTTATTGTGACATGGGAAATGGTTGTACTGGTTTGCTAAGGCTCTACTATAACAAAAACAAGCTGGAGAGTTGAAACAGCAGTTACTCCCCCCTTCCCCCACATTTTTCTGAGGCTGGTAGTCCAAAATGATGGGGTCAACTGGGTTGATTCTTATATGCGGTCAGCCTCCTTGACTTGAGCTAGTCAATATATTGTTCCTTTCCTCTTTGTGTTAAAGCCTCCTCTATAGCCTCACTTTTACTTAATTGCCATCTAAAGATTCTATCTCCAAGTACAGCCACCTTCTGAGGGACTGAGTAGTCCCAGGACCAACATTAAGATTTGGGGAAAATATAGTTCAACCCATGACAATTTCATGACTAGATTATTGTTTGAATATGAAGAAGATTGATTGTCCCCTGATTCCATGTTCTTGATAGGAACAGAAGCTGAAGAGCTGATAGACTTAGTTTTTGATATAACCTTTGCAATAACCCAGTCATCAGTGGGTTGCTCCCCTGTTACTTTAAAGATTTATGTATTCATTTGAAAGGCAGAAATAGAAGGGGAGGGAGAGAGAGCTCTTCCATGGACTGGAAGAGCTACCCAAAATGGTAGTGACGGTGGGGGTTGGGCCAGGCTGGATCCAGGAGCTTCATCCAGGTCTCCCATGTGGGTGCAGGGGCCCAAGGACTTGGGCCATCTTCTGATTCTTTCTCAGCCACATTAGAGAGTTGGATTCTAAGTGGAGCAGCCGGGGACTGGAACCAGCGCCCACATGGGATGCTGGCACTGCAGGTGAAGGCTTAACCATTCTGAGCCACAGTGCCAGCCCCTGTTACTATAGCCTTAATATGGAATTTGCTGTTTACAGAGTAAACAGTACTGATAAATATGTTCAGATTATGTGGCTGCAAAAGCATTTACCAGAATTTATTGAAAATAAACATGAAATCTGTTAGGATAAGAATTCCTGTCAACAACCAGGCTAATTTTTAACTTGATTGTAGTTTTAAAGCAAAAAAGGTAGACTTGTACAGTGAATCCTCAAGACCTGTTAGCTTTAGCTATTATCAAGATAAAGTGGCCGGCGCCGCGGCTCACTAGGCTAATCCTCCGCCTAGCGGCGCCGGCACACCGGGTTCTAGTCCCGGTCGGGGCGCCGGATTCTGTCCCGGTTGCTCCTCTTCCAGGCCAGCCCTCTGCTGTGGCCCGGGAGTGCAGTGGAGGATGGCCCAGGTGCTTGGGCCCTGCACCCCAATGGGAGACCAGGAAAAGCACCTGGCTCCTGGCTCCTGCCATCGGATCAGCGCGGTGCGCAGGCCACAGCGCGCCGGCCGCGGCGGCCATTGGAGGGTGAACCAACGGCAAAGGAAGACCTTTCTCTCTGTCTCTCTCTCTCACTGTCCACTCTGCCTGTCAAAAAAAAAAATATATATATATATAAAATTGGGAGACCAGGAGAAGCACCTGGCTCCTGGCTTCGGATCAGCGCGGTGCGCCGACCGCGGCGGCCATTGGAGGGTGAACCAACGGCAAAGGAAGACCTTTCTCTCTGTCTCTCTCTCTCACTGTCCACTCTGCCTGTCAAAAAAAAAAAAAAAAAGATAAAGTATTTTATTATATATTGCTCCCCTTCTCCCTTTTAAGCAACATCTATAATCTGGGTAAAACTAGGGCAACATTTACTTGCCTCTAATTTCTGAGGTTTTTTTAAGATTTATTTATTTGAGGCCGGCACCGCAGCTCAATAGGCTAATCCTCTGCCTTGCAGTGCCGGCACACCTGGTTCTAGTCCCGGTCCAGGCACCAGGTTCTGTCCCAGTTGCCCCTCTTCCAGTCCAGCTCTCTGCTGTGGCCCAGGAGGGCAGTGGAGGATGGCCCAAGTGCTTGGGCTCTGCACCCGCATGGGAGACCAGGAGAAGCACCTGGTTCCCGGCTTCGGATCTGCGCAGTGCACCGGCCGTGGCAACCATTGGAGGGTGAACCAACGGTAAAAAGGAAGACCTTTCTCTCTGTCTCTCTCTCACTGTCTACTCTGCCTGTTTAAAAAAAAAAAAAAAAGAAGATTTATTTATTTGAAAGAGTTACAGAGAAGAGTCGGAGCTATCTTTCATCTGTTAATTCACTCTCCAGATGGCCAGAATGGCCAGGCCAGAGCCAGGCATTTCTTCCAGTCTCCTGTGTAGGTGGCAGGAGCCCAGGTACCTGGGCCATTAGCAGGGAGCTGGATCAGAAGTGGAGTGCCCAAGAAATGAACCGGTGTCTACATAGGATGCCAGTGTCACAGGCTGTGACATTACCCATTGAGCCATAGTGTGGCCCTTCATTTCTAAGAATTTAAAGTGAATGGTAATTGGACAATCATAGCTGTATTTTATATGTGTATGTGTGTGTGATTATTGTAGTCTTTTAAGATTTATTCATTTATTTGAAAGGTGGAGGACAGTCATTTCCCATGCCTTTTTTTTTTTACTTGAAAGAGTTACACAGAGAAAGGTCTTCCATCCTCTGGTTCACTCCCAAGATGGCCACAACGGATGGAGCTGTGCCGATCCAAAGCCAGGAGCTTCTTCCTGGCTTCCTGGTATCCCATGTGGGTGCAGGGGCCCAAGGACTTGGGCTATCTTCTACTGCTTTCCCAGGCCATAGCAGAGAGCTGGATGGGAAGAGGAGCAGCCGGGACTAGTACTGGTGCTCAAATGGTATGCTAGCGCTTCAGGCCAGGGCGTTAACCTACTGCGCCACAGCATCGGCCCCTACCCATGCTTTTTAATGCCCATAGTTCTTAACATAAGTAGAGATGTTGAATACTATAATTTCACTGAAATTGTATTAGTTTACTTTCTTTATTCTGTGAATTTTAGTTTTAGGAGTAGGGCTATAAAGGAATAGCAAATGATTTCTGACAGGGCTAACCAGTGGTTATTCTGTAAGGCATTGTTTGATGTTTTAAATCTCGTGTTAGGAAATTGGTGTCATTTTGAAACTAAACCTTGGTAGAGCCCTGACTTACCTTGGAATGTAATATCATTCATTTGTTTAACTTTAGATGTTACAAACAATTCATTGGCCTGACTTTGCCCAATTTTATCTTTGTAGGCAGCCTGCTTCTGCAAAGTGGTATGATCGAAGGGACTATGTCTTCATTGAATTCTGTGTTGAAGACAGTAAAGATGTTAATGTAAATTTTGAAAAATCCAAACTTACATTCAGGTAAATTGGCCATTTAATATCATTGGATGAAAAGCTTACCTGAGACAACTAACTTCAGCTTGCTTGTTTTAGTTTTTCACTGAAGTTTTTGTTACTTTTTATCTCTTTGAAAAGACTTAATTCTTCTTTTTCCCTCAACAGTTGTCTTGGAGGAAGTGATAATTTTAAGCATTTAAATGAAATTGACCTTTTTCATTGTATTGATCCAAATGTAAGTAATCTTGATGCTCTAATCTGATTTTTTTTAAAAGATTGATTTATTTGAAAACCAGAGGTGGGGTAGGGAGAGAGAGAGATGGAGGAGATGATTTTCAGCTGCTTATTTGCTCCTTCGATGACCATAGGGGCCACAGCTGAGCTAAGCAGACACCAGGAGCCCTTTCCTAGTCTACCACGTGGGAAGCAGAGGCCCAAGTATTTGGGCCATCTCCTGCTTCTTTCCCAGATCCGTTAGCAGGGAGCTGGAGCTGGATTGGACATAGAGCAGCTGGGACTCAAACAAGTGCTTATGTGGGATGCTAGATTTAGTCTAAGGCAGCTTAACCCACTCTGCTACAATTACAGCCCCCTTTAATCATGGTCAAATCATGAGGGAATGGACATACTTCAAGTATCCTTAATAGTAGACATTGGCCGGCGCCGCGGCTCACTAGGCTAATCCTCCGCCTTGCGGCGCCGGCACACCGGGTTCTAGTCCCGGTCGGGGCGCCGGATTCTGTCCCGGTTGCCCCTCTTCCAGGCCAGCTCTCTGCTGTGGCCAGGGAGTGCAGTGGAGGATGGCCCAGGTGCTTGGGCCCTGCACCCCACGGGAGACCAGGAGAAGCACCTGGCTCCTGGCTCCTGCCATCGGATCAGCGCGGTGCGCCGGCCGCAGCGTGCTGACCGTGGCGGCCATTGGAGGGTGAACCAACGGCAAAAGGAAGACCTTTCTCTCTGTCTCTCTCTCTCACTGTCCACTCTGCCTGTCAAAAAAAAAAAAAAAAAAAAAAGTAAAATAGTAGACATTAATCCTGATTTTCTTTTTCTTTTTTTTTTTTTTTTAGATTTTTTAATTTAAAGATAGCATTTCTTCTCTGATTTCCTCATGCAAACTGCACATAAAATAATAATCCTGTTTTCCTTTACTCTAGGATACTAACTAGATATATTTCTGTCTTGCAGTATTTTCCCCTTTAATTCAAAATTTTTTTCTGCTTGTTTTTGTTTTTGCTATCAGTATTTGAGTATAGGAAGCTACTTCTAAGACTTTATTCTGTTCACCCTATGTAAGGGAGGAGGGAAAATGATAACTTCCCAGGTTTTTGTTTTGTTTTTTTTAAACTGGGTAGTCACAGGTGTGTTTCTTTTCAGTCTAGAGAACGTAAGGGAAGAAGTAAGAAAGGAGAGGTGAGAAATGACAGTCCTTCTTTCTGTCTTGTCCTGATACTGGAGAGAAATGGTGTGATGATGCTTTTCTTTTTAGGATTCCAAGCACAAAAGAACGGACAGATCAATTTTATGTTGTTTACGAAAAGGAGAATCTGGCCAGTCATGGCCAAGGTTAACAAAAGAAAGGGCAAAGGTGGGTTTCTTTTCTTTATTTTTTGAAAGTTTAATATTTTTACCATTTGTCATAGCCAAATAAAAAACCTCCTGTGTTGTGTGAAGTCACAAAACAATATTTACTATTACTACCTTTTTTTTCTCCACACTGAGTATTTTAGCCTTTTTTGTATATGTGTGCTAATTACGTGCCCCCACAGCTCAAAAAATGTGGATTCTTTTGTTTTTGTTTTGTTTATTAAGAGTTAGAGGGAGAGAGAGATCAGTCTTCCATCCACTGGTTCACTCCCCGGATGGCTGTATTGGTCAGGGCTAAGCCAGGCTGAAACCAGGAGCTTTATCAGGATCTCCCATGTAGGTGGTAGGGGCACAACAGTTGGGCCATTTTCTGCTACTTTTTTTTTTTTTTTTTTTTTTTTAAGATAACTTCTATTTAATAAATATAAATTTTGAAATTACAACTTTTGGATTATAGTGGTTTTTTCCCCCCAATAACCACCCTCCCACCTGCAAACCATCCCATCTCCTGCTCCCTCTCCCATCCCATTCTTCTTTAAGATTTTTAAATTCTCTTTATATAATTTCTGCTGCTTTTTCAAGACCACTAGTAGATTGGAAGTAGAGCAGCCAGGACATGAATTGCTGCCTACACGAGATGCCAGCATCACAGATGACAGCTTTACCCACTATGCCACAGCACACGCCCTAGATAATGTGGGTTTTAAAGTGCAGATTGACCTAGTCACACATACAGTGATGTTTTTGTTGATCCATAGCTCAATTGGCTTAGTGTGGACTTCAATAATTGGAAAGACTGGGAAGATGATTCAGATGAAGACATGTCTAATTTTGATCGTTTCTCTGAGGTAAGTTCCTTTCACTACATTTTCTCACCCCTCTGCAGTGCATTTCTTTTTTAAAGCTTTATTTATTTGAAAGAGTTAAGAGAAGCAGAGGCAGAGAGAGAGAGGTCTTCCATCAGCTGGTTCACTCCCCAATTGGCTACAACGGCTGGACCTGTGCTAATCTGAAGCCAGGAGCTTCTTCCTGGTCTCCTACATGGGTGCAGGGGCCCAAGGACTTGGGGCATCTTCCATTGCTCTCCCAGGCAATAGCAGAGAGCTAATCAGAAGTAGAGCAGCCAGGACTTGAACCAGCTCCCATATGGGATGTGGGCACTTCAGGCGGCAGCTTTACCCACTATACCACTGCACTGGACCTTGCAGTGCATTTCTATATAGTCATTTTAATTTGGTTGTAAGCACCTGGTAGTATTCAAAATGTGCACCATTTTGTTTTTAAAAATCATTTTGCAGTGACAGTTTTGAAGTGTAACCTCTATGATTTCAAAAGAATTGTTAAAGCTGATGTGTAAAAGCAAAAGACAAGCCATACAGTCTTATCAGTCCAACACACCTAGTTTTCCTTCTAGCATTGGAACAAGTCGGTGGTGGAGGGTGTGATCACAGTAGTCTTGCATTTTTATCTATAAAATACAAATAAACACCTTTAAACACAATCCTTGTGAGATGTTGACACTGGGAAGTATGCAGGAATATTTTTAGTTTGCAAAAAAAGGGGGGGGTTAATTAGCCTGTTTTCTAAGATGTCACTCAAATGCGTATTGTTATGGCCAACGAAAAAATGATATTTGTAGGCAGAATAAATCTTAAATGTACTAGAGATGAGTATATTGGGTTATAAGTTCAGTGTGCACTTAAGAAATCCATTTCTTATTGGTAATTTGAAATTTTGAATTAACTAGACTTCATTTGTATTTCTTCATTGAGAACTAAGAGTTAAAAAGAGCCAAGTTTCCACCTTTGTGCATGCAACTGCTGATTTAACATCTCTCAGTTATTCTAGAACATCTCAATTATTCTGGCACTTTCAATAGAAGAGAACTATATATTGCTGAGATTATCCTTATTTGTGTACAAGTCACATCTTAAAATTGTTCTCTTGCTGTTTTTGTTCTCTGTTTTACCTTTGAAGTAGTTCTTCAATACTTTAAATTTTCTCTTGCTATTCTATTCTTACCTCTTAATACCGTGCCTAGCACGCTTTGAGCATTTTTCCTGCTCAAAGAAACTGAGTATCATTGGAGATGGAAAAACTACTAGTTCCTCCTGTTAATACAAGACTGGATTGCCCATAATTTTTGTGCTGAGAGATTTGACTAGGGGGAGTGTGTGTTTATTAATTGAGATAAGAACATTTAATGAGATACACCTCTTAACAAATTGTAAGCACATCACAGCAGATGTTTAGAACTTGCTCATCTTGTATACAGCTGGAACTTTATACCTGTTGGAACAGCAACTCCTTGTTTTCCCTTCCAAGCACTTCAGCCATCTTTTGCTGCCTTCCCAGGCTTTTTAACAGGAAACTGGATCAGAAACAGAAACTAGAGACTGTGGGATGTTAGCATCACAGTTGTTTCTGTGACTGTCTTATTTCTCTTAGCTTTATCTTCAAGGCTAATAGTACTCAATTTTAAAAAATAACTCATTTAAAATATTAGCAATATATTGCTTATTTGAGATATAGGAAATTTGCTGGCTCATCCCCTAAATACCATGACAGCTAAGGTTGAGCCCAACTGGATCTGGGGCCTCAGTTCAGGTTTCCTACTGGAGTAGCCACCTAGGGTATGCATTAGCAGGCAGCTGGAATGTAAAACAGAGACAAGACTCAAACCTAGGCACTCCCAATATGGGATACATGCATCCTAAGAAGCATCTTAACGAAGATGTCAAGTCAGATGCCTGTATTTACAAAGTTAATATATTATATTGGATTTTATTTTTCTGGAATTCAAATGTTACAGAGAATTGTTAATTTGAGGAAATAAATTTTTCCACATCTGTTAATAGTAGTTTAGTCTTTGTTTATGTCCTCAAAATCTGTACTATTAGCTTTATGATTTAAACGACTGAAATTTGAGAATTTGTCATATAGTTGTTTATTGGCTCTTTATACTATAATTACAGAATACTACAAATAATAACATACACCTATCTTAAGATAAAGTTTTAACAGCTGCAAAAAAAATCCCACCCCACCCCCCTTTATTTAACCAAAATAACCACTATTCAGGATTTTGATGTTTAAAACATTTCTATCATCTTGCTGGGTGAATTTAGTCTTCCCTACAGGTTTTCAGGATTTTATGTAACTACCTTTTGCAAAAACAAAAGTGCTTGAGTTTATCATGTGCAAAAAAATCTGACAGATTTACAACCTATTCTGGAGTATGCAATCTAGCAATTAGGGCTTAATTTAATATCTTTGAAATTTTATACTTCACATAGATGATGAACAACATGGGTGGTGATGAGGATGTAGATTTGCCAGAAGTAGATGGAGCAGATGATGTAAGTCTAAATTTTATTTTCTGTTTACCTTAATAGTAAGAAACAATGTATTTACAGGATAAAATTTAAGGTTACTTTCTTGGGCCACTTCTAGTGTTTTTTTTTTTTTTTTTTTTTTTTTTTTTTCCCCTCCTAAAAAATACAGTAGGGAAAGGAGTTTTTAAATGTGTGCATTTTTAAAGACCATACCTTAAAGTGGCCAGATTTTGCATAGATGCATTATGTGTACCTTATTTAATAGTTACTTTAAGGCTTATTTTGTCTTTCTTTGTTAGTTTATAGAGAGGGAGAAACACAAATCTTCCATCTGCTGGTTTACTTCCCAGATGACTGCAATAGCCAGGGCTGGACCACACCAAACTTCTGCTGGGTCTCCCACAAGGGTGGCAGGGACCCAAACACTTAGGCCATCTCCTCTGCTTTTCCCAGACCATTAGCAGGGAGCTGCATCAGAAGTGGAGTGGCCATGGCTTGAACCAGCACCCATATGGGATGCCAACATTGCAAGCAGTGGCTTTACCTGGCCATAGTGTTTACCCCAGATTATTTTGTCTTAAAATGATAAGTTAAATAAACAAGTTTTATAGCAGAATTGGTCAGAGGCTAGATTTTTATACTTGAGACTACTTTCTCAGCATTCCCTGTTAGCTTTTTTTTATTATTTTTATTTTTTATTTATTTGAAAGGCAGAGTTAGGCAGAAAGAGAGAGGTCTTCCATCCACTGGTTCACTCTGCAGATGGCTGCAATGGCCAGAGCTGTGCCGATCCAAAGCCAGGAGCTTCTTCCGGGTCTCACATGAGGGTGCAGGGGCCCAAGCACTTGAAACGTCTTCTGTTGTTTTCCCAGGCCATAGCAGAGATCTGGATCGGAAGTGAAGCAGCTGGGGCTCAAACTGGCACCCATATGGGATGCCAGCACTGCAGGCGGCAGTTCTGCGCACTATGCCACAGCACCAGCCCCTCTCTGTTAGCGTTTTATTAACATCTTCCAGAAAATTACTGAATGCAGTTTGGAAATTAATTCAGAATGAGCTAAATTTAAAGTTGATTGTCCATTGTTCATGAGCCATTTTTCCTCTTTAATGAAATGCCAAGTGGGAGGGGGACGATTTAGGGCCAAATTCAAATGATAGGTTAAATTCTTAGCAAAAGCACATGCTAGTTTTTACAAGGGTTAGATGCTTGCCTGTTGATTTGTTCACACCAAATAGATAAACTTGGCCTTAAATTAGATGCTTTAATTCCTTGACTTAATGTAACCATGTATTTTTGCTACTTTGGTTTAAAGAATATGATAATTCAGCTTTTTAAAGGTAAACTTTTGAGTTCACAGAGTAATTTGTTAAGCCTGGTAAATTTTTTTTTTTCCTACTTCTTTAGGATTCACAAGACAGCGATGATGAAAGTAAGTGTCTTTTTAATTTATTTTTGGTACTTTTCCTATAAGACTCATTTAAAATTGGTATTATTCCCTGGTATTTCATATTAATGTTTTTTAAATTCTTTCAGAAATGCCAGATCTGGAATAAGGAGTATTGTCATCACCTGGATTTTGAGAAAGTGATTTCTCTGCAAAATTTCATAATTGAGAGAATTCCTGAGTTGATAGCTCTAAAGGTGGATGCTGTATTTGCCTCCTTTAACCCATTTTTCAACCTATTTGTTTTTTTAAAAGGCTTCACTAAGGGTTGATATGTACCATTGTAAGGGGCAGTTTTAAGTCAGCTAAGGCAATAACCTTATGCATGAACATTTCCCAGACTTCATGAAGCTGTTGAGGTCCTAGATAATTGATACAGCAGTTGTGATAAATAAAAACATTTCACTTAAGTCTCCTTTACTTCTTCATAACATAGATACTGACATGATAGGAAGTGCTCAGCTTAGGGAAAGATAAGTAAATTTTAGGGTTTAGAACATGGACTCAAACGTGGCTGAAACAAATTGGCTGACACCTTAAACTGATAACCGGCTATTCCTCTGGTGTATCCTTCAGGAGTGTTCCACTAAAGTTTATTTTTCAAAAAATTCACTTCACATTATTCTATGTAAGTGATCACTTGTCAGTGTTCCAGATGTATCTTAGCTAAAACTAGTGAATGCCCTAACTTAGATGGTTTTTGAAGCCTATACATTTGGTATTGTTTGGCCCTTAAGCTTTTACATCTCTTAGCATGGAGGACGAAGAAAGCTGTACATTGTTGCTTGAGAGTCTGTACATTTAGACCAGATTTGTATTTGCACTGTCAGTATGGCAAATGAGTGAAGAAAATGTTAATACACTATTGGAAATTTTTTTTTATTTCTTTTTTTTTTCTGGTTCAGCTTATACCAGGGCTGAAAACCTCAATTTATGTTCATGACAGTGGGGATTTTTTTAAATGTCTACATTCTTTCTAATAAACTGTTGGAAGACTTCTTGGCTGTCCTTTTAAGTGTCTGGTTTACCGTAACTTCATGTATTTACCATTTACTGGAATGGAATTTTTATTTTTATTTGAGAAAGAACTTGGGACTATTCCTCTGTTGAATAAAGAGGCTTGCTGTAATGTCACAGGAGACCTTCTTAAAGTGGATCTGTAATAGAAAATTGTAGATGCACTTGGCAGCAGTTGAAAAAGGAAGTTGTTGTGATTTGATTGAAATAAAACTGAATGTGTTGTCCTCCACTACATCTTTGAGCTTCTACATTTTGGTAGTTTTCATTGCCTCACAGCTGCTGTATTTGTCATAGCCCAGAAATGCGTAGTATTTCAGCACTTTAATTTCAAGAGGAAAGAGAGCGGGCTTTTGGTTGGTTCACTCCCCAAATGCTTGCAACAGCCAAATGAAAGCCAGGAGCTGGGAACTCAATCTGCGCTTGTCCCAAACTCCTTGAGCAATCGCTGCCTTCCCAGGGTGTGCATTATCAGGTAGCTAGAGTAGAAGCAGAGTAGCCAGGATAGGCAACTTAACCAGTATGCCATAGGCCTGCCCCTCGACACGTCCTATGACCAGTAATTCAGGTGCAGTGCCAGGCAGTGTGTTAAAAGTGCTAGGAGGGCCAGTGCTGTGGTGTAGCAGATAAAGGCATTGCCTGCAGTGCCGGCATCCCATATGGACGCTGGTTTGAGTCTCAGCTGCTCCACTTCCGATCCAGCTCTCTGCTGTGGCCTGGGAAAGCAGTAGAAGATGGCCCAAGTTCTTGGGCCCCTGCACTCGCATGAGAAACCCAGAAGAAACTCCTGGCGTCTGGCTTCGGATTGCTGTAGCTCCAGAAGTTGGAGTCATCTGGGGAGTGAACCAGAGGATAGAAGACCTCTCTTCCTTCCACTGGCTCACTCCCCAAATGAATGCAGCAGCTGGAACTTGGCCAGGATGAAGTCAGGCACTCTGTCCAGGTTTCCCACCTGGGTGGCAGGGCCTAAGCACTTCCTACCAGTGAAAGCATTGTATATCATTGCTTTGCTTGGCAGTAGGCATGTGTCAAAGACCTAAGTATTTGTTGCATGAATTCTCAAATACGATAGCATGACTAGTGTTTTACAGAAGGTTGTGGAGGTAAGGAAGGAAACAAGAGTGCAACATTCAGTTGATGGGGGATGGGAAGTCATGTGTCTCAAAGTGATTTAAGCCACTACCTACAATGTCAGCATCCCATATGAGAGTGCTGCTTTGAGTCCCAGCTGCTGTGCTGTTGATCCAGCTCCCTGCTAATGGTCTGATAGTCCAAGTGCTTGGGTCCCTGCCACCCATGTGGGAAATGGATGGAGCTCCTGGCTTCAGACCAGACCAGCCCTGGCTGTTGCAACTGTGGCACTTGGGAATGAACCAACAGGGGGAATCTCTAGCCTTTTTTTTCCACTCTGCCTTTCAAAGAAAGAAGGAAGGGACAGACTTAAGCATTGGCAGTAGGGCCCAGACACCCACCCACCCCAGACAATTCTTAATGGGTTTGGTGAAAACCTAGGATACTACCAGGCTTGCTTTGCTCTTAAGTACTAGTTAGGTGCCCATGGTGTGGCACAGTGGGTTACGGCCCACTTGGAATGCTGGCATCACATGGGTGCCAGTCCCTGCCACTTCCCTTACAATCTAGCTCCCTGCTAATGCACTGGGAAAGCAGTGGAAGATGACCCAAGTACTAGATGATAGGGCCCTAACCACACATGTGAGAGACCAAGGTGGAGTTCTAGGCTCCTAGCTATTTGGAGAGTGAACCAGTGGGTGGAAGATTTCTCTGTAAAACAAAAAGATGTACAAGCTTCTATCTGCTTTTTAAGACATTTTAAAAGTTGATTACATACAGGGAGGGAACCAGAACTTTATCCACTAGTTCATTCGCCAAATGGCCACACTGGGCCAGGTAAACCAGGAGCTTCTTGGGAGGAACCCAAGCATAGGGCTATCTTCTGCTTTCTTAGGTGCATTAATGGAGCTGGATTGTAAGTGGAGCAGCTAGACTAAACCTCTGACTATGGGATCCCAGCACTGAATGCCACAGCTTAACCCACTGCACCACAGCACTGGCCCCAATTTTTATTTTGGAAAGGCAGAGAGCCAGTTTATATCTTCCATCTGTTTACTAAACAGGAACTCTTTGTTACATGCATAGCAGGGATCCAAGTACATAAGCTATTGTCTGCCTTCCAGGATGTACAGCTTGATCTGATCAGAGGAGCTGAGATTCAGTCCAGGCCCTCTGATGTCTCCAAAACGGCATTTTATCTTCTGAACCCAACAACTGCTCCCTGTGTCTTCTGAAATGAAAAATGTCAGTAATATTGGGTGATTGAATGATTTCATTTGTGAGAGGAATCTGTTCTTTTATCATTTGAAAGAGTGACATGCTGCTGGTTCACTCCCCAACAGTGGGAGCTGAGCCAGGAACTCCATCCAGTTTTCCCGTGGGGGTTTCAGGACTAAAGCACTGGAGTCATCCCTGGAAGTATAGGAAACTGGGTTGGAAGTGGAGGTGTGACCTGATGCCAGACATTCAGACCTGTATGGGATGCAAGTGTCCCAAACTGCAGCTTAACCTGCTGTGCCACGAAATTTGTTATGAGAAGCAGAAACTTGCTCCTTCATTTCCTAAATTCCTGCAACAGTGGGAGCTGGGCCAGGCCCAGAACTCAGTCAAGGCCTCCCATGTAGATGGCACAGCCGCTTCTCAGCGTCCACACTGAGAGCGGAGTTGGGGCTGAAACCCAGACACTGTGACGTGGGAATGCAGACTGAAATATTCACTTTTATGTTTTGTTTGAAAGGCATAACGATGTTTTTTATCTGCTTGTTTGCCTCAGAGCCTGGAATTCCATCTAGGTCTTCCATGTGAGAGGAAGGAGCCCAAGCCCTTAAGCCATCACCTGCTGCCTCCTGTGTGTGGCAGGGACCTTTCATAATCAGCAACCCAGTCTCATATCTGTGCCATGATTACAAGATAAATAGAGTTAAGATTATTGGCAACCAAGTCTGTCAACCAGTGTTCTTTCTCTGACTTCATGAGCTTCCTAATTCTCATTCCCTATGTCTTCAGCCCTGTTTGATCTTGAACCCAGCACTGTACCAAAGTTACAGGGTTCTAATCAACCAAGGGGTCCATCATCAGATGAATGAATAAAGAAAATGGTATATACATATAATGAAATATTGTTCAGCTATGAAAGAAGCAAAATGGCTGGAACCGGAGGACATGTTGAATGGAATAAGCCAGATACAGAAAAACATTGCATCTTCTGCCTTATGTAATGGGCCTATAATTTAAAAGAAATTCCAGGGTTCTTTGTGATAATGTGGATTCTTAGGTCCCAACCAAGAGTTCTGATTTTGATTACTTGATACCAGTCGTTCCTCGGGTGTGGTCCTTCCATGAGCAGCATCAGTCTCACATAGGAACTTTGAAAGCCTGAATTCGGCATTGCCTAACAGACCCACTCAATTCAAAACTTGGGAGGGCAGGGATTCAACAGCCTGTCCAGCGCTCTGGGTGACTCGGTGGTAGGAAAGTTTCATAGCCAGTGTTTCAGGTGTAAGTGCAGATTCTGATGCAGTTGATCCTGACAAGATACCACCCTTGTCTAGTGTGACATTCATGAAGGGGATGTTCTAGATCGCCACAGACTGACACGGTAAGTACTAGCCACTTAGTTACTGAAGGTCTAAAGTACTGGTTAGTGAGACTGAGGAAGTAGCAGTGGCCATTGGGAGGTGAACCAATGGTAAAAGGAAGACCTTTCTCTGTCTCTCTCTCTCTGTCCATTCTGCCTGTCAAAAAACTGGAAAAAAAAAAAAAAACCTGGAGGAGAGGGAGAGACAGGGGTATTCCATCCACTGGTTCACTCCTCAGATGGCCACACTGGGTGGGACTGAGCCAGGCTGAAGCCAGGAGTCTAGAACTTGAGTCTCCAAGGGGCCCAAACTTGTGTTCATACGGGATGCCAATGTCACAGGTGGTGGCTTAACTCACTGTGCCAAAGCACCAGCCGCCTCTGAGTTTATTTTGTTTGGAAGGTTCTACTTGACTGGTTAGCTCCCCCATAGGCCAGGGGCTACCAGGGGTGGGCCAAGGCCCGAGGGTAGATCCAGGTTCCTACATGGGTGGCAGGAGCACAATTACTTGAGCCATTTCTGCTGCCTTCCAAGGGCTGTATTAGCAAGGAGCCAGAGGTGGGCATGGGATCCAGGCATAGGGAACGCAGATATCCTAATCCAGTGTCTTAACTGCTCGGCCAAATGCATCCCCCAGTAGTGAAGATTTTATAAGATTCTTAGGCAGGTGGTTCTTGGACCACTCATTGACAATACAATTCATGCGTTAATTCCTTTAAGAGTTCATTTGAAAGAGCAACATAAATCTTCCATCCACTGGATCACCTCCCAGATGGCCACATGAGACAGGGCTGGGCCAAGCCGAATCCAGGCTCCCACAGGGACACAGAGTCCCAAACACTTGGGCCATCTTCCAGTGCTTTCCCAGGTGCAGTAGCAGGAACCTGCATCAGAGAAGCATACTAGCTGGTACTTAAACTGGGCTCCAATATGGGATGACTGTCACAAGTGCATCTGCTACACCACAATGCTGGCTCCTAAAACATTTTTTAATGTCTGTTCATGTATTTTTTTGAAAGGCAGAACAACAGAGAGAAACAATGATCTCTCGAGCTGGGGCTGGGTCAGGCTGAAGCCAGGAATCAGGGACTCGAGGTCTCACACATGTTCCACAGGGACTCAAGTACTTGAGCCATCACCTATTGCCTCCCAGGAGCCGGGAACTCCTTCCGGGGGTCTCCCACATGAGTGCAGGGCCTAAGAACTTGGCCATCCTCTACTGCTTTCCCAGGCCACATCAGACAGCTGTATCAGAAGTGAAGCAACCAAGACCAGATTTATTTATTTATTTGAAAGAGTTACAACCTGTGGCGCCAGCACCAGTTCTAGTCCCGGTCGGGGCGCCGGATTCTGTCCCAGTTGTTCCTCTTCCAGTTCAGCTCTCTGCTGTGGCCCGGGAAGGCAGTGGAGGATGGCTCAGGTGCTTGGGCCCTGCACCCACACAGAGACCAGAAGAAGCACCTGGCTCCTGGTTTCGGATCAGCGCGGTGTGCTGGCCGCAGTGGCCATTGGGAGGTGAACCAAAGGAAAATGGAAGACCTTTCTCTCTGTCTCTCTCTCTCACTGTCCACTCTGCCTGTCAAGA